CCCCGGCCTGCCGATGAGCCGGTGGCTGGTGAGGGAGCGGGCAGAGGTGCGAGACCAGGGTGTGGGGAGGTCCGTGGAGCTGTGCGACAAAGCGGTGGGCGCAGAGACGAGCGTCTGCGAGACGGGTGTCAATGTGCCGAGCCCCCGCCACACGGCGCGGGCGGTCGGAGCGGTGAGGTCCGTGGGCTGCGGGGATTGTTCGGTGGACGTGCTGGTTTGCTCCCCCAAGGAGCGCGTGTCCCGCGAAACTGCCACAGAGGCTGTGCACAGGGTGGAGGCGACGGTGATGGCTGTGCCTTCTACGGCTAGCCGGCAAACCAGCACCGCTTTGGAGATGGTGAGCCAGTGCACTGGCACGGAGGCGGCCTCCCTGGCACACTGCGGGACAAACACCTCTCTGAGCAGCTACGATAAACAGACCAACACAGAGAGCGTGGAGACGCGGAGCGTGGCAGTAGGGGATGGCCGGGTGAAGGACATACAGGTGTCTGCTAAAACGCGTTCGGTGGGAGTGGGCACCTTGCTCTCTAGCCACCCTGGCTTTGAAAAGCCCTCCGCGATAAAAACCAGAGACTGTGGCGTGGGGCAGATAAACATTCATGAGAACTACCTGGTTGGTCTTAAAATGAGGAGCATTGCCTGCGGACCCCCTCCGTTGCCGGTTGTGCCAGCCGGCACCAGGAGCATCGGTGTCGGAGGAGAGCCTGTGTGCGAGCCGGTGAGCGGTCTGTTGGAAAGCCCTCTGCCTCCGCCGGAGCTGCGGGCGGGCTTGGATCACTACATCGAGCGCGTGCAGAAGCTGCTGCAGGAACAGCAGATGCTGCTGGCTGAAAATTACACCGAGTTAGCAGAAGCCTTTGGGGAGCCCCACTCCCAGATTGGATCTCTCAATTCGCAGCTCATCAGCACCCTCACCTCCATCAACTCCGTCATGAAATACGCCAGCACAGAGGAGCTGCGGAGCCTGGACCTTCAGAAGCAGTGCACGGAGAGAAGCACCACGTCAGGTAAGCCCAGCGTCCAGACGTGCGCTTGGTCACCTCCTTGCCAGTGCTGCAGGTCAGTCACCTTGTAGGCTTCCACTTAGTCTGGAAGTAAGTGTATAATCCTACCTGATCAAGCGCAGAACAGAACGTTGCTGGACGTGCCCATTGGGTATTCTGTCCAGCCGACCACACGTAACTGAAAAGCCAGAGGTGGTTTTACCTTTCCCCATACAGCAGACTCTGAAGGGCCCGATGATGGTGATTACTCTGACCATGCAAGACAGGTATCCGAATGTATGCAGGGTGTGACCACCGTGCAAGATGTTGACTCCATTTTGTAACTTTAAGAGTATTCGAGATTAATGCCTGTGGATTTGGAATTTTGTCCTTCCTTTAAACTTGGCATACGGTTTTTAAAAACTGCCGTGTCAGATTTGACAGAGTTGAAAGTCACATCCAACGTCTGTACCAAACTGACTTGTTTCCATAGACATTCCCTGGATTTTGTAGTGTTTCTTCCATTGCTTTCATTCCTTGTGCCTCTCAGCCAGAGAGCTGTGGTATGCTTTCCCCATTCCAGGAGGCCTGATGGCTTTATAATGGGCAACGCCAGTGCGCTTCACAGAAACCACATCTTGCATCTTCTGTTCAGTAACTGTTTGTCCTAATCCCTAATTACAGCCTCGTGTTTGAAAGGCATAAGCTGTAATTACTACTGGAGGTTTTGGTGACGCTCAGGAGAGACAAGAATTGAGATTTAAATACTCATCACATTTTATTTATTAACTTCAAAATCTATGCAATTAATTTGAGGGATTTCTTTACTCCCTGGGGTAAAGTTGCTTACTTTTTTTTAATTATTATTATTATTAGGTAATTGATAGTCTAGTTTAAAACTTAGCCTTTTTTTCTAATACCTTATTGGTGAATCCAGCCACCCTACTACTAAATTTATACACACTGGCTTACTGGAAACCAATATGTAATGCCTAGAAGTGATTGTTACATACTGTTTTCCTGGTCCTGCCATACAGTGACTGAAACAAGAAGTTAAGGAAATGGGAAAAACTTGTTCAAATTCATCTGTATTGTGGGTGTCAAATGGGAAAAAAAAAATCCTGAGTAAATACCATTTAATGTCAGCATAATATTATTGGCTAATGCACTGCTATATAAAGCTCTTGAAGCTTATTTACTGTCTGAAAATTTGCCTATTTTTGTTAAAAGGCAGCTTGGTAAATCTGAATCTTTTCGATGTTCATGCACTAAATGGAACCATCCATTAAATGAACTGAAGTAAAAATTTTAGCATCCCGTAATAAAGCAATAAGCAACATTTATGTAGTGGTAAAGAAAACATACGATATCCTGTCTGCGTACATGCAATATTATTATCTCTCTGGTATGCACTTTATATTTTGGGCTTCTTACAAGTAATGATACTATAATAATAAGAGTATCTGGCAGACACGAGAAGTGTCCTTAAAAACAGTGAAACAGAATTTTTACTAGCTGTAAATCCTCAATTCCTTTCCTTGCTTTTACTGCACAGTATCAAATGTATAGTCTAGAGACTTGAAAGTATTTAGACACAGGTGGAGCAATGGATCATATTTTACTAAAGATGTTCTTACACGGATTCAGATTTCACATTCTTGATAACAATATTTTGGAATAATTTTATTTTAACTTGTGATGCCGTTATCTTTAGCTGTGGATGCTTAGTGTAAAATCTCTTTATTTTTAGTCCCTGGTGAGAACTACATGCCAGGACTGCATGTGCAATTCAGGCTCTGTGCTATAACAGTTTAGACCCATGGAGAATTAAAGTGGGAAGGAGGTCATAAGCTTGAAATGTTTCCCCTTCTTTTTCTATTAATTTTGAAAAGACTGTCTTCACTACATGTATCTGCTGATGATGATGCCTGTTTCTGAGGTTTCACTTTTTTCTGTAAAAGGATTTTAGTTGAATGAAGCACTAACTTAAACAGTTCTGTAATCACTGGAACTAATAAAACCTTTTATTTTTTTTCCATGCATCAGTATCTCATGATAACTTGTGAGCTCTTAATAAGTCTTTCTTCACATTTAGGTCTCTTGGATGTAGCTTTTCGAGTGTCTTGTATGTGAACTCAGCCAGCACCTCTTTCTCCAGACCTGGCATCTCAGCCAGATTTCTCTAAAGCTTGTATGAATATAAAAATCCTTCAGAGCACTGAGTCTCTAGTCAGGTTTGGTTAAAATGAGCAGTTGGGTTTAAGTTATTGAAAGTAGCATGACCTCACAAGCCTTGGTTTCTTAGAAAAACAGGCTGAAAATAGAGGCAGGAGCGTCTGGTTTCAGATTAGCAGCGGTAGCATCATCTTTAATATTTTATTCAAAGAGCATCCTTAGTAAGCGCCTCTTAGAGGCCACGTCCTTTCAGGGCAAAAATACCTGACCTGGCTTTGAGGTGTGCGATCTGGGTACTGGTTTGCTATGATAGAGGGTTAACAGTCCATACTGCTTCTGATACCTGAGGTGGCACATCAGTCAAATTCTCTGCTGCACAGATTTTTCTCCCTGCTGGTGCTGGGGAGGTGGAGGTGTGCTGCAGAGATGTCTCCGTCTCGCAGCCCACAAGTGGCAGGCAGTGGGGATGCAGGTGTGAGGGCTGGAGCCTGCCGAGTGGGACATGCAGCTGGCACCTTAAACACAAGCCAAGGTGACCTCTGAGATGATCTCTGAACCTGGTCTATTAGCAATTAGTGTATTGCTTGTTGCAAAACAAACACCTTCACTTCTGTAACTAAGCAGCTCCTATTTACATATGCACTAGTGGCATCAGGGAAATCAAACCCGCTGGCCCCGCAAACCGATTTCCACTCCACAAAGTCACGTTAGCCAGTGTCTGTGTCCAGCGGGATCGTATGCATGCGGGTGACAAACCTAGACGCTTGCTGATCCTTATTCTTAGACCAGACAGCATATAGGAGGACTAAGAGAGGCGAGTGCGTTCAGGTTCTCCGTTTACTGTCACAGAATTTTTGAGAAGTTTCAGAAAGTTACATTTGAGTGCATGTGTGATATGTTTTGCAGACTATCAGCCAGAGGCCTAATGTCGCTTGTAGGGGTTTTAATTTTAATTTCATGGACTTTTCACAAGTCTCATAGGTGGGTGTCTTTCACAGGCAAAGGTGGTATTTAAAAACAACTGCTTTACCGTTGCCCTGAAAAATGACCTGAGCATATTTGACCTGAAAGTGCATGGTTGTTTTGCCTCAGAAATCTTCGGAGTATCGGTTTTATGGTCACTTTTTGAAGCGATCCTGACTGAGCGCCCCAGTGGGAGTATTACACTAATCATTGTGAGGAAGGAGGCAACTTCTTGGAGGGAGGGAAAAGAAGTGGGAAGCAAGTGGGGTCAGAAAGTATCAGGGGTTAGGAAAACATGATATGCCATCTGATGGGAAGATCTTTCAAGGTTTTCAACTCTTAACTTTCACCCAAAGCTAAGGAGGCAGACTGTGGGACAATGGAAAGACCGAAGGAATGATGGTGGTGTGAGAAACCTCTGGTTGTGTGGACGAATGAGATATTGTGGCCATGGTTGTCTCTCTGTGTCATCATTCATAGTGCAAAACTAGTAGGGAATTGGAGAAAGCTGTCTTCTCTTTACAGCTCTTCTTTTTGACAAAGTTTGTAGTCTTTTCTTCTAAGACTGTGTAGCTCAGTGGCTTGGTGGCCCCTGTCCTGGCAGCATGAACCACGTTAGTGCGGTTGAAGGCTTGAGGCTTGCCTGAGGCTTAGGAGCCGGTGCTGTTCCAGGTGCAGGCATGTTGGTGGACCATGTAAAGCTGTGAGCTGTTACAAATCACTCTGGTTGTCTACCACTAGGCAAGTGAATGAAGCCCTTAGCTTCAACTGTGCCACAGATGCATGCCTTCATCACTGAGTTGTTTCTGTACAGATGTGCTGATTTGTCTAACAAACAGAATCCATCTGTCTCTCTGCTGAGGAGAGGGTCACTGACGTACATGAAGCGATTTTAATGTTCCTTGGAAGGTAGTGCATGATGCAAAACAGTATGCAGATGGTCCCATCTGTGTGCCAGATGAGTACTGTTTATTCATGTGTGTCTGGCTGGCATCTCAAAGAATACAGTGCTTCTTCTGCATTTTTCGTAGAGAAGGTAGTATCTACTGACCTGCTACTTGTGACAACATATAAAGCTCAAATGCTTATGCAATTTGAAAATGGTAGGGAACCCCACACTGGGAGCTGAGGCATTTAGCTGGTGTTTTTTTCTGTTTTAAGTACCCATCCAGTTATATCAGAAGAGAAGCAGAGACCTGGTCAGTAATTGTCCTATAAAGACATTATTCAAGGGAATCTCCATAAACCTCTTTAAAGAGGTTTGACGTACCTTCTCTGGTCATGTGCTAACACAACCATCATCATAATTATTATTTTTATTATTACTGTTAGTATATTTGCTGTTTTCATTCTGTAGAAGCACTACATGGAGTATTTGAATGTGAAGGCTGCTCTATCTCATCATTTCTGCTTCAGTTGATGAAGAGTATGATTTGCTGTGATATAAATATTTTTTTCATTCAAACCTATTGCTGCTTAGAGATTGGCAAGTTCCAGCCTCGGAGCTTGTTTGTTGGAGTGACTTTGGTAAAACTGCAGTTCCCTCCCGTGCTGTGGCACAGGGACGTGATGTTCAGGCTCTGAGCTTTGTTCAGAGTTCAACTCCCATGGTAACAGGCACACCTATGAATACTTAATAGCAGGAGATTCCATTTTTTTTCCGAGAAAGTGTCGTTGTATTTCAGCAACAGTAAAGCATCAGCTGAGAAGATGAACTCCTCATAAATGCGAAAGAAAGAAGAGCTCTGAGATGACCTTCCTGCTGTGCCCAGCATCATGAGTTGCTTTGATCCACCACTCATCAAGGAAATTAAAGATCACTTTCACTGAGCTTCGCATGCAGTTGTCTTGGAAAAGAAAGCATTTCATCAATAAGATAATAAGCTGCTTCACAGACATGTCATTTTTTGTTTTCAATCTTGTTCACTTAAAGGAATCAATTCTGACTTCCAGTTTCAACAGCCTGGCTTCACAAGCTAGTTTGGGGGTGGAAAGCAACTACTCAAAGAAAGTGTTTAAAGGGAAAGTGAAAATGAAATTGAGATTGTTTGTGCAATCCTGTTAAAGGAGCCATCTTGTTAAAAAGAGCATTTTCTCTGAAGCCAAATGATAGTTGCAACATTTATCTACATCTAGGCCCCAAGTGAATCAGGCTTCTGTCAGTTTATCGTATAAAAAGCTCATGTGTGGCAATTTTTTGTTCTGAAATGTTAAATTCACAGACTTTTAACCTGGAATGGCTGAAAAGTACCTTTAAAAATGAAACTACACTTAGGCTTCTGAAGGTAACACATTTATCAAGTGGATGGGTTAATATCAGTCGTCGTAAATGTTTAATCATAACATGTTTGCTCATCACTGCCTTTTTATTTACCTTAGTAGAATGGGACTTCTCCTTCAATAGTTCTTAGGCATAGACTAAGTGGAAAGTGGCTTAAAAATTATTTATATGAAAAAAATAACTTTTTAAGGATAAAGCAACCCAGTAACATTTAAGATCATTAGAGAGGACTTTGTGTTATTCAGTTACAGTAACTTCATAGAGAGCTTATTGCTACTGTAAAGAAATCATGCAGTGTGAAACAGAAGTATTTCCTTGCTGGATATACTCCAGACAACATTTATGCCCTGTCTTTAAAAGGAACTGTATAAGTTGTATCACTGGCTGTTATAAACATATTGTGCAAATAAATGCTTGCACTGATCAACAGGTTAAAAATAAAATCTCTGTGCAGCTACCACAGAGGCAGCAAGCTCGTGCCCTTTTTTTAGCTAGAAGCCTGTGATGTTCCAGCCAGAGTGTTAGGTTCTCATCCTGATGGTATTTAATTCCCCTGGCCTTGTTTGCACCTCTCTTGATTTCCAGTGGTATAAAAGTATTGTCAAGTTAAATAGTTTTTATAGTTATACTTAGGTTTGCTTCCATCAGACTAAATGGAATTTTTCAAAAGCACATAAAGGCCAAACTTACGTTATCATGAGTTCAGCACAGATTCAGGGGAAATAATACTGTTTAAAACTCACCCAGTGAGTTCCCTGAGCCAGCTTACTATGTAACTACTCATGGTCTCGTAAATGGGAGAGAAGGTCTGCAGTTAGAAAGGGAAATAGCATCTTAATAACAAAAATGTATTTTAGAGGTGCCAGAAATAGCATGGGTAGTCTGATGCTGACATGTAGTAGTTTTGCTGTCACCCTGGTTTAAATTGGTGAGATTTTCAAAAGGAGCACAAACGATTCAGAAAAGGAGGCTCCTTCTAAAAAGTTAAAAACAGATGCCCTCGTTCCCTCAAACCACAGGGGCTGAACCACTAAAGATATGCTTCGGTCACTTGTTTCCCTCTGAAATTGATGAGAGTAGCTTTCTGCATAAGGGTTTATGAACAGTTGAAGTCTGAAAGTTTTTTGTTTTGTCTTACCATCCTCTGCTGCTAAATTACTCATGAACTCATGAACTACTATATTGTGAAATACATTTAGAAATTCCTGGCAGCTCCATGCTGAGGTTAGCTACCCTGTACCAATACTTACAAATTTATGTCAAGTTTACATTATTTGCCCGCAACAGTAAACTAACAAAAATCATCAGGGTGACTCTAGCCGGGTGGCTCTGTTTGTAGGCAGTGGCTGGCTAATTGTTCAACCAGATGGCTGATTTACAGTCGGTGTTGTGCACCATGACCTGGTGTCAGTGAGAAGGGTTCCGTGCAAGCGTGTTTGAGATCTGTGTGAGGTGAGATGAAGAGTCTATTTTAAGGTCTGTGTAGACTGGTCGTGATCTTCAGCCAGGGTTTCACTTCCATGCTTGAGGAGTGTGCGGCACATCCAGCCTTGACAGCAACCCGGCAGCCTTGTTGGAGGAAGAGGGAGCTTGGCTCATTCAGCTTTTTGGTTTGGGCAGCAGTCAGTTCATTTGCGAAGTCATTGACGGTAGTGTTGGGAAGCACAGCTGCTTGCTTCCTTCATTTTTCTGAGTGATTTGCACTATGTTGCTGCTCTCCAAGCATCTTTATGTTGGCTTTCTTTGTAAAGGGGAGAGGTGATGTTAAATGCGAATTGATAACGTGCAGCATTAATGCTGTGTGGGACCCAAAGCTGTCTTTCCATGAACCTTGGCTACTGTAGACGCAGTAAGTGTAGACATCTGACAGCTATGAGGTGGGGAATGAGTGTACTGACCAGTTTGTCCATTGCACACTTACTTCTTGTGTGCTTGTCCTCAAGCCTGGATGGCACCTCTTTTGTCAGGTGCTGGTGGCCGAGCAGGACACCTTTTCTTCTTCATTTGAAGGCATGGACAACATGCCCCAGATCCTGAACTCAGTGTGGCACTTCTCAGCTGCTGAGGGATTGACTAGAAGAAGGAACCTACTGAGATCTTGTGACGGTGGCAGGTTTATCTAGGAGAGAGGTTGTGAGGCAGGGGAGAAAAGTCTGCTGCTGTCCTCCTTTCTCTCTGTCCTACCCACAGCTCCCTTCCCAGCCATGTCCCAGGGCAGAAGGGAGACACCTGCAGAAGTTCAGACTCTGGCTTTGGGGGGCTGAGTGTTGCTGAGGGAGGGGTGGCAGGACGCACCAAGGTGTCGTATGTTCAGGTCAGGCAGGACCTCTGCCCTGTCCAGCCAGAGCCATGCTGGCCGCCCGTGGCTCCAGCACACATGAGCCCACCCATGTCCCCAGGACACACCGCGATTGTCACAGACCGTGAAGCCTGGTAGAGGACAGAGACTTCAGCTGACAGTAGGCTCAGGCGGCTTCGGAGGCTTTGCATATCTCTTCTGCTTCAGAGCAGGTTTCCTCCGCTCCCTGCTCGTGCCCTGGGTGGCGAGGCTGGAGCAGAAGGGGTGACCTGGTAAAACCAGCCGAGGCAGCCACCACCAGCTGCAGCTGGAAGCTGTCACTCCATTTGGTACTCTCTAATTGTAGCTGTCACTGCTCCAAGCAAGCTGACGGAGAGGCGGGTTCCTTGTTTTTCAGCTCGGGGAATTTAGAAATCATTGGTTTTGGCTCAGTGCTCCATCGCCTTGGCAGCCCTCTTCTCCTCGGCTGGCGGGTGAGGGACGGCGCTCGCTGTCGGAAAGAGATCCAACCGAAGTCAGTCACCACTGCGAAGCGAGGAGAGAAGGGAAAGCGAGGGCAAGACTTCCCTGTTGGTTTCCACAGGTGCCCGTTTTGTCCCACGTAGGCGAGCTCATCTGTAGAGGGGTTGCTCCCACATGGGGAGCACTGGGGTGGCTGCCACCTTCACCCTCCACTTCCTTGAGAGGGCAGAAGCTTTTTGGCTATGCCTGTGGTGACACATGTGCTGCCGATACCCTGCTGGCGGGGGCCTTCCCATGGAGAAGCCGTAATGGTGGAAGTGGGCAATAGGTCTCATGGCTGGAGAAGGTGCCTTGGAAGTGCATATGGGGTGAGACTCAGTTGAGAACTCGGAGACTTGGGTGTGAACGGGAGCAAAGAGGAGGAAGCTGCTGGGAAGTGACAATATTTGGAAAAATCAGCTTCATTATGTCCTGTTATAGGAAAGAAAAACATACTGAGGTAAAGCAGGAAAGGGGAGAGGCAATTTAGCAAGAGCAGTAAAGACGTCAGCTGTATTTCCAAAAGCAATGTTGGAATTCACCTTACTACAATTCACTTACATTCCAACTACAATGTTGGAATTCACCTGTTAGCGTCCTGTGCAGTGCCACTCATCTATTTGAATGAGGACACTGTGGCTTAATTCTTGATAAATACAAAGGGAAAAAAATGGAGGCAGAAGTGATTGAAGCAAGCTTTGAAAGAAAGAAGTGATAGTGTTTAAAGTAAATTAAACATTGTCTTTTTCTTCCTTAAAATGCTAGTGAGATTACTTAAAGAAGAATGCATGTGTAAAAAAAAAACACAGTGTGCTCCACAAACAAAAGCATTTGTGCAGCTTTGTAGAGCAGTCCTAATAGCACAGCTGGAGGAACTCCAGGGGAATCTGTAAAAGTCTGTGCGTAATTAGTGCTGCCTTTTAAATGCACAAAGGGAAAAAAGGAGTGGATGCCAGCAAATCAGAAAAAAAAAGTACAACCCAAACGTTTGGAATTTGATTCAAAGACAACTACTACCTCAGTACAATCCTGTCAAAAAAAAGAAAAAAAGAAATGCACTAGGTGGGAGTTTATTGCAGTTGTCTCAGTAACTGGGTAAAGTATATAGCTTTCAGAATTAGTGGAATGCTGGCAAAAAGGAAAGTTTGCTGAAAAGTTTCTTCTTTCATGGCTGGTGCCATTTCTTAAAAAAAAGTAAGATAAAAAGGGCACTGCTCTTGCAGAAGGAACATGCAGAGTCTGTGAATGCACTCTTCAGGCATGTCGGCGAGGAGCAGCTCAGCAAGTCCCCCCTGAGCCAGGACAGCAGGAGCTGGGGTGACTGTGCTGAAAGAGAAAGAGAAGAAGGAAGGATCCACTCTTTTCATCCATTTTAAAGCCAATATCTTAATAGTTTTTCTGTGTATGTTTTCACTGAAAGAAAAACTCACAGCTGGTTTTTTTTGCGTTTTCTATAAGCGATCACATCCTTTTCCTATTGGATCCTCAGAAAAGAGTAGTGTAAAGCACAAGTGTTGCCCTTTTTATTTCCAGTTTGTTTTTTTCCCCTTGTTGATCACAGTGTTGACAGAAATGTTTTGGTCTGACTCCTCCGTGATGCCTACTGTCTCCTCTGACAGGTGCTACTTTGGAGTACATCCCTCACGGCCAACTCGCAAACGCCCACTTGGCTTCAAATTTGCGAACGCTGAAATTGGAGCAGGATGTTGTGCCTGCTCAGGAGGAGAGGAAGACTCCTCTGGTGGAAGCCGTTCGGGGAAGGAAGTCCTTTTCTTCTCAGGACAAAACTCTCTCTCCAATTAACCTGACAGATGACCAGCTTGCCTCCGGCCTCTATGGTAACAACTGGCTCACGTTCACCTTTCATCATGCTGTTGGGAGTCCGAATATGAAATACAGTTAGAGGACATTTTCAGGGTTCTCAAAATTGTGAAAGCAGGGAAAGATGCTGCTACGGGGGAAGCCAAAGTGGGGGACCCTGTGTCTGCAGATAGTGGTTAGTTTTTAAATGGCAGATGGTAGTGCATGACTGAAATGCCATTTAGTGTCTTCGTAAGGAAAATGTACCGAGAGAGAAAGGGTTAATACAATAACTTTTTATAAAAAGACCTTACATTTTTATGAATGTTTTTCCCGTTTTGTGCTTAGAGATGGGTTTAAAAGTTTTAGAATCTAACAGACCACCCTTGACTGAACCTCCCCACCCTGTTGAATAGGTTATTATTAACTGTGCTGTCTGTACTAAAGTGTTAGTTCTGGCAATGAGCTGCTGTTGTCTGACACCAAGAATTAAGATTTTCTTAACGGAACAGAGTAGCCCATGTCTTTCACAGGTAGCAAAGAAAAAAGAAATGTCTTTTGTTAAGGTTTTCTAAAGCATCATAATGATTAGCAGCACGTTGGAAGATGGGAAAGTTGAGCTAAACTAGTATTCTCTATGCAGAGTTGTTTCTGGAAGTGTTCTCCTGTATTTCCAGTGTGCATTTCACACCATAACTATACATATAAAAAGATTAGAAAGCCCATCTTCAGTTGGTAAATTAAACAGAAAGCTCTTTATTTGTTTTGAAAAATTGTCTAAAGCTGCTGCAGTCAAAGCCAGCTACAGATTTGTACTGATACATGTGCTTTGCCTCCCTTGTCAACAGTATGTGCTAATAATGAAAACACGCTCAAATCTATCATGAAGAAAAGGGACGGGAAAAAGGATTTGAGCAACACCAAGAAGAACCTGCAGTTTGTCGGCATTAATGGCGGGTAAGAGGCCAGTCTCCAAAAAATCTGTCGCTGTAATGCTTTCACAGTGGGAAAGAAAGGAGGAACCCAGGAGCTTATGCATAGCTTTGGCCTGTCCCTCAGACCGAGGTGCATCTCCTGAGTTTAAGGGTCGGAAGGAAGAACGAAGCAGCTGAGCTCATTTTAATCCTCTGTGAACCTTTTGTGCTTGCAAGTCATACGTTGCATCAGTCTCAAGTACCTGTAGATTAGATTGCTGCCAAATTTAACACCGGAAAACCAAACAAACTGGAAGAGCCATTACTCGCATAAGCTTAGTCAGGGGAGATTCAGGTTGGATGTTAGGAAGTATTTCTTCTCTGAAAGGGTTGTCAGCCACTGGAATAGGCTGCCCAGGGAGGTGGTTGAGTCCCCATCCCTGGATGTGTTTAAGAATAGGGTGGATGAGCTACTTGAGGATATGGTTTAATGGGGATTAGGGATGGTTGCACTCGATGATCTCTAAGGTCTTTTCCAACCTAGAAATCTATGAATCTATGAACCTTTCTCTGGCAATATTTTAGTAAGGAAAACTTTAATATGTCTTTAGCAGCTGACAAGCCCAGCATTGTACTATCGAACAGTACAGCAGGAGTAGGCATTGCCTAAGAATTAGCTTTTCTGGCTTTGCACTAGATAAATACAGAAACCTTGCTAGACAAATACAGAAAACATTATGGAAAAATATCTTCTTTTAAAATATTACCTTTGCAGAATATTGCAAAGAACTTTAAAATGATTTCACCAAATTGCTTTTGAATAGCTTTTCTAGCCCTTCCCTCAGGTTAGTTTTTCTTTGGTACAGATGCCTTGTGCGCTATATAGCCTAAGTATGGCAATTAACTTCATTTCATATGTATTGGCTAAAAGTATTGTTACTTATCATGGGAGAATGTTACCACTGACAAATCACTGTTGTACATTAGAAGAATAGGCTTAGTTCGTCAGCTGTTGAGGTTGGTGAGATAAGACAGTTCATTAGAAACAGCATTATAATTGTCCAAATCACTTCCATTTCACCTAAAATATCAAAATGTTTTGGATTGTCACAAGAAAAATGTTAAAATTGTGGCTATTGTCTTTACATAGGTTTGTTCGCTTCCCTGCTTGTATCTTATTAAGGCAAGGTCTGACAGAGCGTTAAGACTCCTGTTTAAAAAAGGTTGTCCTTCTTTCATTACACGCCATGTACACAGTGTTGGTTGGCAGTGACACTGAGTTCAGTGGGTAGAAAAGGTCTGTGACTAGAAAAGGGGAGGACTAAGCCTTTGAAAGATATTTTTCAACTTGCACCCACCAGCACAGGCGAGTGCTGACGGCCGCTGCATGGCTCTGAGTGAGTGCCCCTGCCCCTTCTCCCCCCAGGTACGAGACGACGTCCAGTGACGACTCCAGCTCTGAGGAGAGCTCCTCCTCGGATTCGGAGGAGGAGTGTGAGGCTGAGTTCCCACATGGCCGGCACTCAGAAGAGGGGCAGCCTGTGCCCCACACCCCAGAGGTCTGCACCGTGGGGGCAGGGAAGAACAGCCCTCCCCTGGAGTCGGAAGCCGAGGAGGTGGAAATCAGAGAGAGGTAGGCTGCTCGCCCTCTCCCAAGCACCTCTGAGGGGGTTACCAGCCCCTCGTTGCACAGGGCAAGCTGCGGGCTGTGGATAACGTGCCAGCCCCCATTGCTGCCCGCTTCCCTCCTCCTTGGGCAGGTAACTAGAGGCTGTTTCATGGCAAAACGATTGTATGTGAGCAGGGAGAAGGTGTCAGAGGGTGTCCCTTCTGGCAGCTGACCCTAGTGGCTTTAAATGGTCTGTTTATAGTGAGACCCAGGCAGCTCCCCGCTGACAGAGGCTCTCCCAGGTCACAGATGGCACTTGTTTGGTAGCAGACAGTGCCTTGTTAACGACTTGGTCTGTAAAACAGTGAGCAACCAAGCAAATGAGTCTTGAACCATGCACACTGGGTCAGCAGCCTGCTGGGAGCCCATCTTGCATTTGTACCTTCCACAGCATCTCAACCGTGGCTGGTGCTGCTCGATAAGACAGCGGGGTGCAGCAGCAAGGAGGTCATCCAACCCTGAGATCATATACTTCATATGAGGTCATATACTGTGATATGCTTTAAAGTTGCTGTCACCCACTCGTTCAGCATTTCACGTCTAAGTTACTTTTCAAGTGGCTGATAATGAGCTATGTAAGGTCGCAATTTGACAGGCAAGACATTTTATTTTTTTTTGCACATGGAAAGCAGTAGTGTGGTGAGTTTTTACTGATTCTTGATTAGTGAGTGGACAAGAGGAAGTATAAACATAGACAGTGAAGGGATATTTTATAGGTACTGGCTTACAAGTGTGCTCGCTTGGAAATTGTGTAAGTGGAATAGTAACAGTAAAAGAGCTAAGACAAAACTAGTATGTCATGTTTGACTGGAGATATGGCTTAGCATCCAGCTTAGCATCAATTATTGATCTGTAATTATAAACTGCTAAATAAGAGATGCAGAAGTTCATAATTAAGAGCTAGTCGTAGGCCTTGGAGCTGTGAGTTTTGAAGTGCCCTGAGCTTTATTCATGCCATACCATTGGATAGCCTGTTATTTTACAGGTGGCATAAAAAGATGAGCAATTTCTCAAAGGAGCTCTCTGATTTATATTTACCCTAGCAAGGGGTGACAGTGAAGAGGGGCTGCAGGACAGCTTAGATAGCCACATGTACTTGAGGAGCATATTCTTTGCAAGCTGGCTGCCCTGACAGTGCCATTCCAGGGGAGGAGGCAGAACACATGGCCATGTGGGACTGAGCATGGTCCATGTGGCAGTGGAGCATTTTGTTGCTCTGGAAGCACCAGCAGCTGCCTTGTAACCCAGGAGGGCTAAAATGCCTGCCTTATACACAGGAGTGTGTTAGCCTCTCTGCTTTCTGGGATAAATTTCCTGGCAAATTGCAGTTTTCCTCTGTGGCAGGTTGTACGCGGAGATGGTTAGCCACAGACTGGTGTGCCACGTGGCATGGGCATGCGCTTTCTTATTTTCAGCTGTTCCCTGAGTTTTGAAATTTGTAATGGAAAGGGGTCAGAATTGAAAACATGAAGGGAGACTGCAGCAAGAGAGTAAATTTCCAGAGTGGACGGGATGAGAAAGTCTGATTCTGGTGAACAGGATAAAACGGGACCTGGCAGGGAGGCTCCGCCTGTGCCCGTTCCCACCAGTTGATTCCGTTTCCGTCACAGCTATTGGCATTTCCTCTTGTTAATCAACTAATCAAAGCACAGAGTATGTAATACATGCTGTGCAGTCATACAGCAGTAGGTGAGAATTTCCACTAGAAGGTTTGCCAAGTCTAAAGCACAGAAGCGACGCATCGCCTGATCTCCGTTCCCACTGCTCCTCCCACGTACATCTGGGAAACACATTTTTCCTCCTCACGGAGGTCCGTGGCTCTGCTTGCTGCGGAGTGAGTCCCCACGGAGAAGAGCTGCCAGAGTGGCTTCTGCATTGCAGCAGCTTATGTCTTGCCTGGAAATATTCATTCCCACATGACTTTCAGAAAGGTAAATGTTCCTATGCTGAAACATCAAGAGAAAAATCTAAATGTGCCATATATTCCACTGTCTCCCTCAGATATGAACTAAGTGAAAAGATGCTGTCTGCCTGTCACCTGCTGAGAAACAACATTGATGACCCCAAGGCACTGACCAACAAAGATGTGGTAAGCAGTGTTGGACAAAATTCTCTCTGAGCTGCGACAGAAAAACTTCAAGGAGGAGTAACTTTTGGTTTTGCAGGGCTAGCACCACTGTGGCTAGGCAGAAGAGGATTTAATCTTTCCTGGAAGAGTCACAAAGTGTTTTTTTCTATCAGGACACTCTTGTCCAGAGAATGTACTTGTGCTTTGTGTGCTGGAGTGTTGTCGTCTCAAGGCACACACGTAAAAATAGTAAAATGAAAGTGCAGTTTTAACACATCCATGGATTTCCATGTTAATTTTGTTAAGTGTTGCTTTAGCACTGCTGTGGTCAACTCTCAGGGCTCAGAGTCTGTTCTGAAACTGAACATGCAGTGCTTCCTTCTAAGCATAGGGATACTGTTTCTGTCTCACTTACTATGCTGGTAGCTTTTATCAATGCATCAGGGAGTAGGGAGGATTCATTGCTAATACTCGGTCTCAAGAAATAAGGTTGTATTTGCTTCATATAGAAATTGCCTATATGCGTCATACAGGAGTTGCCTGTGCTACTTTGTGAGGGCAATCTGAAAGCAAAGTAACGCTGCTTAGTGATATGAAACTGAATTTTGCATTTGTTACGGTTGTGCAGTGATGTAAAAGGCAACAATCCAGTGCCAGTCTTGTCTACTGTAGAGCGTCTGCAGCTTCCTAAAGACAGTAGTGATGTCTGTAAGATACAGACACAGATATTGCCTTTGCCCAGTTCTGACATTTGTGGTCCAGAGACTCTTTTGAAAGGTTGTTTAATACAGTTGGGACGGGTAGTTTTTAATCCTCTGTCAGTCCTTCAGGAGTAGTTTAGGCATTCAAACAACAAGAGCTTCAGGCCCAGTAGGAGTTGAAAGTGTCAAAAATGGCATAACCAAGTGATAATCTCTGCCTTGGAAGTGTAATTTGAATGTACACGTTTCTTTCTTGTGCTTAAAGTGTTTGCCAGCACAAGTGGTGCTTTGTGTCTGGAAACTGCAGAATAATCAGCTGCTGTTCTTTGTCTGTCTGCTAATAAAGAAGTCGTGTCCAAAAAGGGTAAACTTCAGTACAGCTAGAGATCCATATAAATTGTCCTAGCCTCTTCCAGCATACTCAGATCTTGTAGCTGCTGTTTACGCCAGAAAGAGCTGTGAACCGCTCCTTTTGGAATGTGATGGATTACTTGAATAAAAAAAGCGTACCATTTACTTAATAATGCATGTGATACTGTGACTGTAAAAATTTCTTAGTGGTATTTTGCACTTGGTAGTGCCTAAAATAAAAAAATATTTATGTTGTGTCACTTTATGACCACTTTTGTGTTTCAACTCTGTATGTTCACAAAACACATGGTCTCTTACCTCAAACGGCTGGACCTTGTAAGTTTTTATTATGGTAGTACTGATGTAGAATATTATGTATTTATGTATATGTAGCACAGATATACATATGTAGTACTGACACGTGTAGAATATTCTCCCTTTACCAGACCCGGACCACCTCTAGAACTACTGGTACAGGTCCTGTATGTTTTCCCTAGAGGCTAAAGAACTGTGCCAAGTGTCTTCTCTGCAAATTTGTCCTTGAACTTACTGGCCTCCTTGCAGGTGAACGTTTGTGAGAAGAGAAGGACATGGTAGTCCTTCCAAGTTAGAGAAGTTGTCTCAGAAAGTCAGACCTGCCAGTGGCAGCAGAAGCGCCCTTGGCTTACAGCTGGATCTACTCTACCTGCTTTGTTCCCAACAGTCAGTTATCTGGCCTTAAGAGGCTCCTACCCCTCCACCCTCAGTCCATACCAATGAGAAAGTTTATCCTGAATGTCTCACCTGCTTCTTCCCATTGCAGCTAAAATCCCTTACTACAGCCATCCGTCCTGCAGGTGAAGAACAGGTTCTTTCTTTTCTCACTGCAACAGCCTTTTGCACTGTGGAAATGTTACAGTGTTCTTTTCCCCAGCTGTTCTTTCAGCAGATAATCTCCGGTCCTGTCTGTCTGCCCCATAGGTCAGATTTTCTTGACGTCTGATCTTTCTCATTGCTTACCTTTGAAACTGTTTCAACTGAATCTTTCTTGTCATTCAGTGATGGGACCAGACAAGGTAGTCCAGCTGTTGCCTTCACAGTGCCAGGCAGAGAGGAGGGACTGCATCACATACCAAGCAAGCTATTAATTTATGTATTCACCCCAAAACAGTATTTGCCTTTTTCATTACAGTACAGTGTTATTGACTCAGGTTCAGCTTGTGATTCTCTGTAATGCCCAGTTCTTCTGCAGAACTGCTGTCCAGCCAGTTCCTCTATACTTTGTGTATTTGATAATTCATGCCTCAAGACTGGGCTTAATTGACTTAGCAATGCTGTTTTTTCAAGTGGCCGAGAAATGTGCATTCCCACTGCTATTAGTCTTGGGTTCATCAGTGGTTTATGAACTTAGTTAATTAAAGTATTTCATGGAAATGGTTACTCCAAGTCTTTTTTCTGTTCACTAGTATTTGATACCCATTAATTCTGGGGGTAATCTCATCCTAAAATCCTGTGCTCTCAGAGGTGAACCGTTCCTGAAAATGAGGTGAAATGAGAGGAGATAAACAATTGATGCTCTAAAGAGGGATTTAGTCAAGAGGGGAAGCTTCAGTCCGTACATGTTGTTTGTGAGCTGAATGCTTTCTTCCCACATTTGACTAAAAAAGGCTTGACCTCCTGCATTGCTGACTTGTGGGATGGAAAATCCTTTAAATAGATTGCCCGTATGTAAATTTTTCTGTCTTGGTTTTGGCAGAGGTTTTGTTTAAATACCATCCAGCACGAGTGGTTTCGTATCTCAAGTCAGAAGTCAGCTGTCCCTGAAATGGTTGGAGACTACATAACTGCTTTTGAAGAGATTTCTCCTGCTGTCCTCAGACATATCATCAATATGGCGGATGGAAATGGAAACACTGCTCTGCATTACAGCGTCTCACATTCTAACTTTGAAATTGTAAAGCTGCTTCTGGATGCAAGTAGGTTGACTTGTGTGCATATTTTTTTTAATTATTTTCGGTTTTTGCAGTCCTCAGGGGTGGAATTCTTGTTCATCAAGAGGTCAAATTTGGGCTTCCTCCAGCAGCTGTTTTAACTGTTAACAGTTACATGGTGGCTCACTTGAGTGGTCTCGAGTCTGTGTTTCTAGTGCTAGCTTTGGAGGTGATGGTGATGGCTCTTTAAGAAGTTACAAAAACACTCAAGTAAATTATATACAGAGTTGACTGATGTTTGGGACAGACAGATAGATCCCTGACTCTTGAGCTGTAGTCCAAGTTCAGCAGCACCAGTCTCCAGCAGTTTTCTGTGGAGGCAGCACAGCTGCTGCTTAGCCAAAGGAGGAAGATGCATTCAGGTATAAACATCCATGTTAAACACTTAGACTGGTCTAGCTTTGCTTTACTAGAACAGTACAGAAGCTTTTTCTGGCCACCACCTTGGCATGTCTATACTGCTCTCCTGAGATACCAGAGCAATATGGCGTTCTGCCATACAGAAGCATTTCCCTGATCCATGAGCAATCTGATGATGCTTCATTTACTTGATTTTGTTGTTGCTTCCTTCTCTCAATCCCCTTGCCACACACATGCAGAGAGGGCAGTGGCAGAGGGCAGACTCCAGAGTATCTGCTCCCTACCTGTGCTATGCTGGGAGGCAGTCAGCAGAAGATGTCACACATTGGAGCTGGTCCCAGGCAGGATGAGATCTGTTTAAGCCTAATTTTGCTCCCTGACTCCCTAAACTAGTTATAAAACCTGTCACAGTTGATTGTGAAGCTTAACTACACCAATGACATGGCTGGAGTAAGCCATGCAATATTTATAAATCCAGAAGGCTAACATCAGGTAAAGAAAGACATTAATGATACAAATCTCAGCTTTGATAACCTGGCACATCTGTCACTGCAAAGACTTCCTGGGCAGAAAAGTGAGTGCTTTGAAATCTCTGTTCCTGTTTGAAGGCAGCCTGTTGGGAAGAGTGAGTCACGGCGAGGGAATGCGGGGAATGTCAGGAGCACAGTGAAATGCAGCAGGCTGGCTCTGCAGCAGGGCGGTGGGAGGAAGCTGCCCATCCACTTCCCTGGGTATCTCAGGGTAGCATGAGCAGGCTTATCTGATGCTGGAAGTCAGGACTGCTTTTATTTACAGCAGCTGGTGTATTCCTGTGAAGACAGCAGGCTTTGAGTGTAAAATCCAACAGCCATGACTAGTGCCAGGTGTGTGGGAGCATACTGCATGTGCCAGTGCTTGGAAAATATTTGTGAACAGGCAAATTCCTTCAGGTTTCGACAGTCTCTCTCTGGACTGTGTCCAAATCGTCACTACAGTCAACTTTGCAAGGTGGTTATATCGCAGGTAGATTCTTGGTCCAGGAACTTCATGTCCATGTGTTGAGTGGGAAAAGCAGATGAGATAAGAGACTCCTCTGTATCATGGAGTGTTACCAAGAGGACAAACAGGAAAACAGCTCTGCTTGTTAGACATATAGAAAAGGAGCTGAAATGTGACCTTAGAAAACACACCTCTGCTGTGTCTAGTCAGAGTAGGAGAGCATCACTTGAAATAATTATTCATTACTCATGAAGTAAGGTATGTATCAGAGTCTCATGTTCTGTCACTTCAGTGGCTTCCCAGAAGTGACTTCTGAAAATAAGGTTGGGCTACTGGTTATAAGGTAGCACAGGTGATATCTATGGAACATGAAAAAAATGTGCATTTTCTTACATCTGCACTCGTATTGCTTCTACAGTGTTCTTTTCGCTTAAAGAAACAAAAAAAGCCTTTGACAATAAATCTGAAGTATTTCCTAAACATTTGTGCTTGTTAAGATATCTGTGGTGCAATTTAACCCCAAGTCTAGAGATACTGTTGATGTAAATCTGGGTCCTTGCTTTCCAATCCGATAAGCACCCTGAAAGCCCTTTTGCCTGTAAACTAATAAACCCTGCCAGATTTCTGCATAATTTTGGGACAGCAAGAGACTGGAGGTTAAACTTGAACCAAAAGGAGAAAACTCTTGTCAGCTGCTGGCAGTAGTCAGAGGACTTGACTGTATTTGTTCCCAGCATACTTTTGTTCACAGTCAAATACCCTGTAGAGCTGGAAACAGTATTTGATTGAAAGGTTTTTTTCTGCAGCTCCAAAACATGTCAACATACACTTGCAGATCTTTAAAATAACACCAATTACAGGGAAATGTTTGTGCTGAGGAGAAACAGCTTTTCCACTGACTGTGTTGCTGGGCTGTTTTTGTTTTGCAGTGTGGATCCCATCAGGAGAGGAGCTTAAAGACTCTCCTGATGGTATTCCTGGGGTTCGGACCCATGATCTCGATAGTCATGTCAAATTTCAGACCACTTGCTTCTACAAAAGAAAAAAAAAGGCACAAAGCAGGCCCTAAATGATGACATATAAAATGGCTTTGTGCTGTCCCTTGTGTTGCATGCATAGTAGAAGAGAATCCTTTTCTTTCTCAGGCTCAAGAGCACTCCTGTTTATTTTTTTTCTTCTCCACTTTTTCTTGAATTGCTTCCATTATGAGAGAAATTGCTGCCTTTTCTTTTTATAGGCTGCTCCACTAACAGTTTATTCAGTTCGTTAGCACAATTGCTGCTTTTTGGGTTCCTGTTTTCCAAAGAAATTATCTCATCCCTCTGCAGATGTCTGTAACGTAAATCATCAGAACAAGGCCGGCTATACCCCCATCATGCTTGCTGCGCTTGCAGCTGTGGAAGCAGAGAAGGACATGAGGATAGTGGAGGAACTGTTCAGCTGTGGGGACGTGAATGCCAAAGCCAGCCAGGTCAGTCAAATGGTTCATGAGACACCGTTCGCTCTCCCCTGTCTTTTTAGCTTTCCTTCCACGTTCCCATCCCTGCTCCATCGGTTCAGCTTTTGCACTCGTTCACTCTCACCCTCTGCGGTCTTTGGTGTTTGTGTGTGTGTTTTTGATTGCTGTATACAAAATGGAGCTGTGGAAGAACAGTTGAGCCTCAGGTCTGGATCTGCTCTAAAAAGGAAGATTATTCCATCAAGGAACTATTGCTGAATTTTGGGAGGCATTTACAAATTCTACACCATTTAGTTCCTTCCAAGGAACTCCAGATGTCTGGAAAGATACCCAATATCTTCCATTAATTTAATAAATATCTATGTGAATGTGGGATATATTATGCATAGAAGGTATTTAAATAATGAGAGGCAGAGCCTTGAGAGCGCTTTATAAAATAACAATCATTTTTTTCCCCCCAGAAGAAGCACAGTGCCGAAAAAATAAGCGTGCATGCTTTGTCACTGCTTGTCTGTATAGTTACTTGAGTTTTCCCCTTCTTTCCATGCAGGCTGGTCAGACCGCGCTGATGCTAGCGGTGAGTCATGGGCGGATAGACATGGTCAAAGCTTTACTGGCCTGTGGTGCAGATGTCAATATCCAGGACGATGAAGGCTCTACAGCTCTGATGTGTGCTAGTGAACACGGACATGTAGAGATTGTCAAACTTCTGCTGGCTCAGCCTGGCTGTAATGGCACCCTGGAGGACAATGTGAGTTGCTTTTCCAGATAGTGCTTCATCAAATAGCTTCTCCACTCTGGAATGTTCTTCTAATTCAGTTCTTTTGGTGCAGTGGACAGCTGCTGAAATCTACTTACGTGAATCTCTGACTCACAGTGCCAAAGTACCAAGTGCATGAATCGTCTACTTAGTGGTAGCAAGCACTGTGACTATTTGGCTAGTATCTCTGCTTTTCTAACAGATCTACCCAGGAGCAATTTTTATGGTTAGCCATAGGTGTACCATGGCCAGAACAGAAAAAGCATTTGCTAGCTCATGGTAAAACATCTTCCTGTCTCACATTCCTTTTCCCTTTCCCAGAGTCTTCCAGTTTTCAGTTAGGACCTTATCTGGCATCTTAACAGCCTTACTGTGTTGCTTTTCTGTGTCTGTAGCAAACATCAGCCCTACAGTTCTCTTAACAGGATGTTGACACAGTATCTACACCATGACTTTTGAGAGTACAGGTCTAGTCTCAGTTATGAAGCTACATCGTCCTGAGAATAAACAGGCACAGGCTGTGACTTCAGTGCCAAGTGAGACACTTGCATATTTCTTGGTTGCAAGGGTCATTGCAGCCTACGGTGTCAGCAGACAATTTGATCTGTAGACTTCTCAAGCTTGAAAATGTTGCTGGTTTCTTGCCAGTATTGTGTTCTCGTTAACAACATCACTTCTTGGGTACATTTCCATTCTTCCTATTGCTTTCATCCACTGAACACTGAAATGGAGTCTGGGTTTGGGATTTGATAGGGCAGTGGGTGGTTATTTCTTGAAGCTGTTGCAGAGAGGCAGAGACATCATTTCTGTTCATTCACTTACCTGCTGCAGAAGCCAGCTCAGTTGCCCAGTGGTGCCAGTGGTTTGTAACAGCTGGCCTAAGGGGAACATATAAGAATGCCTCACTGTAACAAACACTTTTGGGGACAATCTAGGTTACTGCAGCCTGGATGCTGTTAGCACTATTAATTGCCAAGTCGATAACTGAAGCCTTTATGGGGACATGACACTTAACTATTCCTGTAGGCAGTTTGACAGTGTTTCTCAGGCACAGCTTGTCTGCTGCTTATTCATTTTATAATGGGTTTGTCTGTGCTGTGAGATTATGAGATTTTTAGCATTCCCCTAGCTATTCTGAATGTGACAGTGGTGCTTTTCCAGTCAGCATGATCAGTAGTAAGCTGAGCTTCATCCTACTGATGTGTACGACTCTGACAGTGATTCAGCATCTCTCTTTAAGAACTTGGCTTTTCCCAGTGTTAACTGTGAAGTATTTGTTGTGCATTTGTAGTGCTTTATATTGCACTGTAGTGGGCAGCTCTCCTAGCTCCCTGTCTGCTCAGGACAATTAGATTTATGTATAATCGCTCCCCGTAGTCTCCTAAGATGACTTTCCACTTGGATGCTGTCCATCATGTCTCATGCTGGAAAAAAGGTTTAAGGTTTCCCTACTTTTAATACTGGTGGTACAGCAGTGGCTGGAAAACGTGCTCCATTCGGAGAGCCAACATAAGAGGCAATCCCTACGAGAGGACATTTCAGATACTGGCATTATTGTGTAAACTTCTGTCCACAAGAGAGAAAAGCCAGGCAGTGGACCAGCAATCCACTGTGAGATGTGTGCTGAGGTTGTAGCTGCCTGCCTTGTAATTTAAACACCATCAGAGAGCAGGGGATTGTAGCTACATGATGCACCGATTTCAGGAGGGGAAGGAAGGCAGAGTCAGGGATGTGGCAGCTTCATACAAAGCGTGCCCCTCTGACAGCTCAGAGGTTCACCTCAAAGGATGTCTGACACGTGCTTCTCCCTGGACCAAACATGGTCTAAAGGGAAAACAGCAGGTCAATAAATTACCCTAAAAGGCAAATGTACTTTTTGCTTCTAGCAGCCTCAACAACTATGGTTTCTGAAAGCAATAACATCTTCTGAGAAACTGACGTGACAGTATTTGCCCAGGAAAGTCCATTTGTTTGTAGTTAGACTTCCATCAAGGTGCATTTGGAATTATGAATGCAACTGCTCTTAGTGTTAATGGGAGCTATAACACAATAATTATCATTGTAACACAGCAGTTATCATGATATTCGATTAGCATTTATCCCTCCCTTATCTTCTCTTCCACTCCTCGCTGACATTGTGGTTTCTAGTCAGACAGCCGAATCTTCTGAAATCACTGGTCTTACACAGCACTACATGTAACGTTGTTGTGATAATGGCGTGCTCATTCTTCCTCGGCAATAATCAAGACTCCTCGTTGAGAGAAATTATGAGGCCTCTGACAATTGGACTACCTCATAAAACAGCAGTGCAAAGCTTATTGTCACTTAATTATAATAAAAGAAATGAAACAAGACTTTAAATTAACCCAACTGTCTGTCTGAGCAGTAGGGCCTCCACTTCATGACTTCCCTTCTCTGTGGGCTGATGGGGCCTTTAAGAGATCCGTTAACGTGCACAAGCACTAATTCTGTTATTTCTTCCTTTCCTCTCTCAGGATGGCAGCACAGCACTTTCAATAGCCCTGGAAGCTGGACATAAGGACATAGCGGTTCTCCTTTATGCCCATGTCAACTTTTCCAAAACCCAGTCACCGGTTAGTACATAACCTCCTGCAGTTTATGTTTTGACTTGCTGCTCTTGAACATAATAGTAAAACATAAACAAAAAGTTAACCCCCCTGGCAGCTGTACAGCAGTACAGCACATGAAATTTCAAGTTTATTCACGGGATAATTTTTATGCTGGTAAGTGGAATGTGCGTTTTTAACTACAGGTTTGACTGCAGGAGGCTGAACCCTGGCTGCAGGATACTTCCTCCTCCTCCGTTTTATCTGGGGGTACAGACAATTCATTAGCAGGGTTCGCTGACTCTGGCTAGCATGCAGGGGTGCTGTTGCATCATCGTAATGCTGATTATTGACCTGGTTACCAAAACACAGATGTTCGTGGAGTTACAGCCGTCATAGGTGTTCTGGCAGCTATTCTGCTGTTCTCATGTTCTCCGAGCCCCGACTCACTCTTCTGATAAACTGCTGCTAAACGTTTCACTGTCTAAACAACACGCACTCTCAGTTAGTAGGCTGTATGATAGCAGGCACTGTTCTTCCTAAAATGAGGGGGGTCAGGGAGGGGAAGATCAATCTGTGCAATTAATGGCAAGGGATTGAACAGAGTGATTGTGAGTGCCATGTTCTTGTTGGGCTGGCTGGAATAAATTCCCTTTGATTAATTGTTCTTTCCTCTTTTCTAGGGCACTCCTAGGCTTAGCAGAAAGACATCTCCTGGTCCCACCCACAGAGCCACATTTGACTAGTAGTACATGAATATCTGTAAAAATATCTATGCCATCTTTAAGCTGCTAAATGTTACTGTTTTACTGAGACAGATACTGAATGTAATTCTCGTGTGCCTGAACTCACCAGCAAAGTGAAAGCAGAGATCTAGTGCTAAAGATAGAAAACTGTAAACTTGAAGCAAGCGTATAGTAAAGTAGTGCTCAGCTGAAAACCTTAGTCAGAACTGTTCTTTTGCTTGCCTACTTATATTTCTGTACACTGGCATAAATCCTGTTTTTCTTTGCTATAGATTATCCTTTCCTATGTTATGTGCAGCCTAAGACTTCTAAAGCTATCCATGCAGCAGTGTCCTGGTGGCTTGTTTTTAATCATTCTGAAACACATGTATATTTACTGTGCCTAGGCTTTATCACGGTAACCTTTTCATAAATTTCATTCCAACACGATTTTGATGTTTGCAATTACTTTGAAATTCAGAAGTTGCAGTTGCTTGTATAGTCAGCTCCGTGGATCTTGAGCTGGTGGGTGAGTGGGTAGGTATTGGGGATAGAGATATCTCTCGTCAGGTCTGAAGTTCACTAAATAAGTTGTTGCTAATTGGGGATAATGTATAACTTTTTATATGAAAGATACTAGTATCTATAAAATTAACTCGCACAGTATTTTCAACATTTTGTATTCCTTAATAATTAAAAACTACATGAAGAATTACATGTCCTGTTACCATATTTTTATTAACTGTGTCAGTCTATAAGCTCCATACATGTTTATTGGAGAGTAAAATTAGAGGTACCAGCTGTATATTCCCCTTGAGTGGAACTGAGCGTAGTTCTCGGTGCATATTTATGGAATGCTATTACCTTGTCACATTCACTTTAGTCATGTGTATTGAAATGTTTGAAGTGCCTTAGACTCTTGCCATATTTTCAGAATAAAATTTCATTATGCTGTTTTACTCCTGTCCTGTTTTACATGTAATTTGTCATCATCCAAAAGTACTGCAAATTACAACTGCAGCAGCGAAACAGGGTAGGTGGGTAAGTCAAGGCAGGGAGGACTGGATAGCTCAACCCTTGGGGGCTGCTGATGCAAAGAGCGTCAATGGCCAAACTAGTGACTGGCAGAGTAAAAAGCTTTGCCCAAGATGATCTGCCGTCACTGTTCTTGCACTTGCTGCAAAGGTTGAACCCTTTGCTGTTTGTGAGAGAAGTGGCCTCGCTTTCAGCCATGTGAAGCATCATGGGGAGGCACTGAAGGATGTTCAAGCAGTTTGCTTGAACTGCAAAGTAGTTACCAACTGAAATGAAAGCTTTTGAGCCTTATCTTCCAAACAGTCCTGGTAGCTTGGTGAAGAGGATGCTTTTTAGGTGGCACTGGAGCAAGTCCTAAACTAGTGCCTCTGTATCCTTGTCAGTTTAGACCTGCCTGATGAGATGGACACCTCAATGCCTTCCATCAAGAGACCTATACACTTCTGTTCTTCTGTGTTCTTCCTCCTTCCCTCCCCAAGTCCTTATCAAACAGCTTTTCCTACGTAGTCGCTTTGAAATAGGGACCCACTGAAGCCATCCTTACCCCACTTGGCCTACGTGGACTTGGTGGCTTGGACTGCATGAAGTTTCTGTGAGCTCTGTCAGACTTGGTTTGGTCCAGGCCCGCAAGTACTATGTGATACCAGTGCCTGGCTGGTATCCCAGTGCTTGGGAGGGTCCCCTGGGCAAAGGGCAGGTGAAGTCTCTCTGCTGGGGGGAACATGTCTTAACATAGCAGTCCCAAACAACCCCCACCCCCTGAACCCCTCCTTGAGGTCAGTCAGTTTTTACTATTGCACCCCTCTGGCCAACTTTTCTTCCCACTTCCCACATAGCAACTAATATTGTGTGGATGCTCTCTCACCTGGGTCCTACCTGCTAGTTAAAGACGTAGGTCACTGACTTGCCAGATTACTGTGAAAATAAGATCTTCCCTCTGACACCAGACTTGACAGCAAATGGCAGCAGCTGTAAAAACTTAAACCAGAAAAAAAATGCCCCTCTCTTTGCCAGCAGTGCTGGGTCAGAGACGGTGGGTGCAGGCTGTCCTGTGTAGCAGGTTGCGGAGCTGCATCCCACCCGTGCGTCCACCAAAGACCAGAGACTTGGTCACACGCAGTACGTGACACTGGTGCAGGCTTCCCAATGAATTCCTCATTCACTTAGGAGCCAGGTAGGTTTCTCGTTCAGCAGAATTAGTGCAAGTTGGATCTCCCTGCCTTGGGCATGGCAAGAGTGGCTTTTGTTTCATTTTCAGGTCTCTTATCTGCCACCTCGTGACGCGGTTCAAACAACTGTCTGGAAAGCAAAATCAGGGTAATCTGTTACTGTCTTTATGAGTTTAAAACACACAGGGTGCTGGAGTTAAACAAATCAAGCTGATGAAGTGAAAAAAAAGGATGACTGCTTTAATCTTTCTCCAGAACTTGTTCTAATTTTACAAAAAACCCAGTTACATTATTTATACATGCTTGCCTGTATCTAATGGCTTAAATTATTGTCTAGTGGAGAGACATTATGTTGCCAGGACAGAATTCGGATCAGGGACAGGTTTCTACTTTCACTTTTACCAAGAATGTAATTTTTATTTAGCATTGATTTGACCAAAACCAATCTAGTTGTGCTTTCTTAAGGAAGTTGTAATCATACCTTTAACTCTGGCTTATATCTCATGACAGTAGTTTTAGGTAGCCCTGTGAAGAGCAGGGAGTTGGACTTGATGATCTTTAAGGGTCCCTTCCAACTTGAGATACTCTGTGAAGCAGTTTTAAAGCCTGTAGGTTATGCTCTCAAGTCTGACTTTGTTAAAGAGTATGCTGAGCCATCTGATAATCATAGAATCATAGAATCATA